ACACAAGTCTCGTTCAAAACACAGAAAAATGTCTTCCAACGTCACAAAAACAAATACTCCCGACTTATCAACACGATGGATGATGTATAACATTACTTACAAATCAACTCGCTACAAACTCGCTCCTCCTGTCCCTGCCTCAACCCGCTGTATCTAGTCCTGGGCGGAGCTGCCGTTAATCACCTCGCCTCCAATGGTGTCGGAGGCGGAGTTCCGTCCCGGTGTCGTGGCCACTGGGCGGCTGCTGAGCCCGGATCCCCGGCAGTCCAAAGCTCCTATGATAGTGGTGTAAACAAACCTGCCCCGGTACTTAAAGGTTGCGGCCCGGTTACAGTCAAGTAATAGGACCGCTAGCTAGCTACTGGCAGCAGCTCATACACTTAAGCACATGCAGCAGTGCTGTGTCACAAGAGAAACGGTCCGTGTTGCAACAAGCCCCTGGTACTCGGCCCGGTGACGAGGCACAGCTTCCCTCTGACGCAGTTTCTCTCTTCTCGACTCGGACAGCTCAATAGACTACACACTAAAAGTGGCGGGATTCAATAGGAATTTCTTTCACTTAAATTTGAGAATAAAAACCTAATATACTAAATATTCCTATAAAAGGTGCATCAGGTGTGGTGAAAATATTGCATCTCAGGAACAGCCACCAACCATACTCCGACAAAAAGACCAACTAAAGTGCTGCATCCCGACAAACAAACAGTGAGGCAACTGTTTGGGTGTCACAATTAAAGGGCTCCAGCGAAAACGGTTGGTTTGTTTTGATGTACACTGCCAGTTTATGAGGTACGCCGAGCTAAAATGAATGCAGCCTACAGCCCTGCTATAAATAGATGTTTTGATTCAGCGGTATGGTCATATTGCAGGATGTATTTCATGGTGCTGTTGAATTGTGCTATGTTACATTGACAGGTCTTTCTATTCTTTTGTTCCCACCCCATTTACATTAATGAGGAAAGAACCTCTCTAAAACAGTTTCTAGAAAAACATTTGAACCTTCAGTGTGGCCGGATTTACTGCAGGACTGCTGTATTAGACTGCATCAGTTTTAGCTGGGTGTACATAATAAACTGCTCAGTAAATGTAACGCAATGAAAAATGATCCGCCGACGTACTGCACTATCCAGTCGAATACACGTGTAAGCAAGCATTCAAGGTAAAATACCTCATACCATGAACAGTGTAGCATTGTGCTATGGTTTACCTTGCACTGAGACACAGTGGGACATTGCAGCTGCTGTGGTAACTCCTGAGATAAATCCTGTCTGATGGGAGTGTAATCTACGGTGTCTTACAAGTCACTCACAAATATATCATTCAGCTTCTCTGAACGTCTGTCCATTACCAGAGATCTGGCCGACTGAAGGCTTTGTTGCTTAATTGGGACACCCGCTCCGCACCATGAGCAACCGGGATCAGAATCCACAAAGCAAGCACAGCCCAAGTTAAAATCAACTATACGAGGACTTTGTAGTCACACCAACCTCGGTGACAAATGAGGCTGCGCTTCCCATAGCAGTAAGAGTCTTTCAGTGGCTTGCCAGTAGAAAGCTTTTAATGTGAAGCAGCAGCAGCAGCAGAAGTGTTAAGGTAGTGCTAATGCAAACCTAACACACAGCTCCAACACACAGCCGAGGATTCAGAAAACAGGCTGCTGTATAAAAGTAGAAACAGAACGTAGGAGTGGAACCACAGAGACTTTTGTTACAAGGGAGCAGCACAATTTCTCAGTTCAAAAATGGCACTTTTTCTCTAGTCATCTGCATGATGGTGATGACGACGATGCCCCACATGATGAGCAAGTCACAGATGACAGTCACAAATAGGACTAAGTCCCATTATATTACTGTCTTGCTGCAAGGTGTGCATAGCTGAAATGAATAGCATCACAGCTCACTTAATGACAGAAAGTCAATTATGCTACAGCTAATTGGTGGAAATGGAACAAATGAGGAAGATATTGATGTGCTATCTGCTCACTCACTGCAAGCTGTTTGTATTACTCAATAACTGTAAAAACAAATGTCCACCTGCCCATCTGTGCTTTACGCTTATAAATACTTCGTAAATGTTTTTTGGCAGAGCTCATACCTTCAGCTACGTCGTCGTCGATGGCTCCTTTCACCTGAGAGAAGCACCACTGCATGTCACCTCCAGGTCCTGCAGAGATAAAAATAAACATTCAAATCAAATTTCAGACGTTTGCTACATACAGTTTAATTTGCAGCTTCACAACGTTTCCCATATTTTAACTGTATTGCGAAGGGCTTGGACAATGATGCACGGGTGCTTGAGATAAACTAAGAGGGTCAAGTTTAAAATCGTTGGCTGATAACTGAACAGAAAGCCTCAGCAACAATTAACTACAGGATGGTGAATATCACAACGGTGGACTGACTGTTTTTCTTTCCTTGCCCACACATGCAAGTAGTTCAGAAGTAGCACCTCTATAAGGAAAGTCGCTGTCGGCACAACTGAAACGATGTCTGAGCTCCAGGCAGACGGCAGACGTTGCAAAACGTGTGTGGTCATACATGTACACACATCCTCTCACAACTTCTGCAAGTCTAGTCCCAAAACAAAAATGATTTTGATATCATGCAAGACCTCTCAAGCTCTCCTAAAACTAAAATTCAAGATCACTGAAGTGTCCCACGCACCATACCTGCGAGACGACTTACGTTATGGGCAAACACAGCTACGAAATACAGGCTGCTTCCTTGTCAAAGATCTTTAACGATCAGGGAGTGTAGAAAAACATCCAACGCATCAAAATGATTACATGAACCTTACTTGGTGTTGTAGTTTTCTCACTTTGACAGAAAAAGTTGACCTCAAATTGTGTTAATAAATAGTGACCTAACTGGGGTTATACCGGCAGGAGATGCTCTCACACCAGGGCAGATTAAAAACACATCAACAAGATAAAACACGCTCACTTGTTTGATAATGACCACCACTCGCCTCAACAGGTTTCCCTTCAAAATAGCTCATTGCACAATACAAGGTAGATGAATTCCGCATATTTGTACATGTGATCGTTTCTATTATTACACAACGAAAACTGGTCTGATTTGTCAATAACAATGTCCAACGCAGAATGGAATCGCTCTGCAGAATAATCAAGGACACTTATGAGTCACTGTTGCTTCATCATACACCCATACTCTGAAATGAATCATGATTTGAAAGAAAAAGCCAGGACAGGGTTGGTCCTGGGCAGGACTAAATGTAGCACTCTCATAGACTGCACTCTGCATTTGTTGCAGAACAAAAAGACACAAAGCAAACGAGTGTTTTAACGTCCAAATCATCTCATCAACAAGAGGATGATGTGCAATACCTGTGCCCAGAGACCTGTGTCATTTCCGCGCTCAAATGGACCAAATGCACGTACTAAATTTGTTAGCAGTGACCTATTTTTTGCTAAATCGCAATCGGCTACAAGGACCTAAAGCTGTATACAATGTGTAACGACTACATACATGCACAATTATCAGCTGATGAATGAAATGTGAAACGCTGCGTTAAACAAATCTCCGAGTATCAGGGTATTATTGGGCGGGGGGCGGGGGGTACTAATGGTTCAACATTAGTACATTTATGTCCTCAACACTGGCTCTCTCGACCCATCAGTCCTTTTAGGCAGAAATGGCTCAGATTAAAGAGCTCGTTCAGTGTGCCGCAGGCCTGAAGTACCAGCCTGCATGTGGGCAATGTCAAAGTTTAAGCTAACGTTAGCTAGCCTGGCTTGTCAAGCCAGTCATGGCACGTCTGAGAAATGTGTGCACCGGAGTGGAAACCGCCTGTTTCACCTCAAACATCAGCCATTTGCATTGTGTTTCCACATTAACCGCAGACCTCAATGTCCGTGCACAAGTCTGAGCAGCAACCGTTACAGCGACGACAAGTTAGCGTCAGGTTAGTGTGGCGGATAGCTCTGTCAGCTAACACTGATCCCGGGCCGGTGATAGGGGTAAACAGCTAGCGTCTGCTAGCAGCAGCTAAAGCTAGCTGCTGCTAGCTAGCTAGCTTTAGCCGGCAGCGCCAGGCCAGATGGGCGATGACACTCGAGTTTGCTGGCTAGCTAGTTAGCACTAGCTAAGTTCTGTTAGCTAGTTACCGTTAGCCAAACGGACGCTCGGCTGGGTTCGTGGAACGTTGCAACCGTCGGGCGGTGCGCGCGGGTTCAGAACACCGGCCCGTCCGTTGTGTTTCTATGGGCAACAATTCAAATGAATTACCTGCCATGACGAGACAGACAGTGGAGCTTGCCTCAGTCAGTCACGATCCTGCTTCCCACTCCCACGCGTTGGTTCGTGGGGTCTGAACTTTTCCTTCCTTCCGTCCTTCCTTCCGTCCTCTGTCTGTCTGTCTGTCTGTCTGTCCGCTGTCTGTCCGGCGCTAAATGAGCCGTACCGCAGGTTGTTTTATTGCTCTCCTCCCTTTCTTTCCCGCTCCTCTCGCTGTTGTTCCACTCTGTGTCAGTCACTCTCCCCCTCTGTCTCTCTTGCCGCATCCCACAAGTCACTTCTTCCCCACCCCTCGAGAGTCTCTTTCCGCACGTGAACCAAAGGGTTTTTATAATGCGCGCGCACACAGCATAGCAGATGCACAGGCACGCGCGTGCACGTGGACGCAGCCCTGAAGCAAGGGGTCATTGATGTTTATACTCGATGTAAACTTTAGTGAAGTATTCATATTTCTTGTGGTGAAAAGCACTCGAGGAAAAGTAGCGTTAGTTCCTGAGTTATTTCTCTACTCACTAACATTTGGTCAAAGTAAAAGGACTGTGTGTTATTCCAATATGATTCCAATATGACTACATTTTGTCAAGCAACCTTCTCCACATCAGGGATGCTCTCCAAAGATGTGGTCACATTCAAGTGTCTAAGCAGACTACACCAATATACTTAACATACATAAATCACCTCTACAGTAACAATAATCCATACATTTCTTACATATCATGGCTTTGCACTGCCATGCACTCCTGCTTGCATGCACCATAACCCTGTAGTATATACAGGTTATATACAATAACATGGTTATATAGATACTGTTTGCCCAAATCTTGCCAGTATATTTGCTGTGTCAAATGCTGTTATCTTAGCTGATTCTCTACATTCCCTGCACTGTCTAAAAGGATAGAGCTACTGAAAACCATAGACAAAATTCTTGTATTCAGTTGACCAATAAAGTTTATTCTGATTCTGAATTATTTCCTCATGAGGAGAAAGAGAACAATATCAAAAACCTAATTTAAATGAATTAAATAATAAAATACCCATCATTACTGGACTATACTGTCATCTGTATACATAAGGCCTCACATGGAATGTAACCTTTCAAGTTTTACAGTTTACAGAGCAATAAGTAAGTGAAGCTGAATATTGTCTGTTGTCTACTTACAGTGAAACACAGAACACATGCAGTGTGTTTTAAACCAATTGTGTGGTTATTAATGTGAGCAGATTCCATTTTCTACCGTGTTCTCTTCTTTTTTTCTTGTTTCTTTCTCCAAAAGTTAGATAAAGCTTAATATTTTTGCAACTTGGCAACAACAACTGTCAGTGTTGCAAGACTACTGTATGTTCAAGACAATCACAGCAGTTGTGGACATTTTGGATTCTCTTGGTTAGAGTCAGTGAGCTGACCTAGAAAGCTAGAAGTTAAATATTGCAAGAAAAAAGACTTCAATCTGTTGCCACATGCTTTATTAGTAAAATAAAATCTGATAATGAAGCTGTCTAATTAACCAATCATATGTTCTATGAGAACACTGTGCACAGATTGCAAGTGCAAAGTGCTGCTATAAGGACTGTCTGCCACATAATAGCAGTAACAGACCACCTTACATTCTGAATACTCATTTCCACGCATGTCCATTGCAATCCAAAATGTCTTTTATATTTATTATTCTCTTATTATCTCTCTCTGTTGGTGGACTCTGGAGGGGACTGAAAAGCTTGTTTCAGCACCACAGACATGGAAGCCTTCAGATGTGCAAGTGATAAGTTTCACCACCCACACGGACAGTTTAGATCCTTTATCTGTTTCAGAGGAAGTATTCCCACTGAAGAAAAGAGAAATACAGCAGTCCTAAGCTGCAGCTTGCTAAGAAATGCAGGAATGTGAGGAGAACCATCAAATCAAAATGGAAAGCCCATGAGAAAAGAAACTAAGATGAATATTTCTTTGCAGGAAGCTTGTTCAGTTGGAGAAGAGCTATCAAAACTGCCAACTGCAATATCTTATTAGACTCGGTAAAGCTGTCAGTTCAGTCCCAGACACAGCATGCTTTCTGACCCACTTCACCTGTCAATGAATTTCAAACCCTTTAATTGACATTTCTTAAGACAAGATCCCCCTCAATCTTCTTCAAACAACCAGCAGCAGTGCCCCCCTCTGCTGCCCCAGCAGCACCTGCCCCTCATCACAGAGACAGACAGCACAAACAACTTTCAGAAAAGAAATGAAAGGAGAGCATCGGGGGGTTATGGGCACCCCCATTGAAAGCCTCAGATCTTGCAGTGACCAGCTGGCAGCCTCAGTTTCTTGTATCCATCCTTAAGGATAAACCACAAAGCTCAGTCTCAGTTGTTTTCACTGGGGTCGCTGTATGACTTTGGTAGTTTTTAATTCCAATTGTTCACAGCTGTTCAGTTTTTAAATGTAATTTTTTGAATGCTTTTAGGTTCACAGATCAAATTGCATTTAGTGGTACTTTGAGATACTACCATCCTCACAGTGGCAATGCTAACATGTTGATGTTTCTCAGGCACAATGTTTATCTTTACCATCTTAGATTAGTGTCTCACCAAACACACTAACATTTAGCAGTACAGCTGAGGTGATGGTGTTGTCATTATCTGTGCTGGTATTTGGTCATAAAGCTGAAACATAAATAAAGATGAAACAAATAAAAGTCAATAATTACCAATACAGTTTATCCTGAGGGAAGTATGGATGTGTGAACCAAATTTAACTGCACTCCGCACATCATCCAATAGTTCTTGAGACACTTCACTCAAACCGGTTCGTGGGAAAATATGTTTTTTTTTTTGTGATTTGGATGAGCGAACCCTTTAAGTTGAACTCATGTCCAAGTCACAAGTCTCCAGTGTACGACTGTTGAGGGTTGCTGTACTTCCTGCCAGGCGGAAGGCAGCTTGTGCTGCTGTCTGAAACAGCAAGCCACACAAGACAAGACAATAAGCTGTTCTTGTTGGGATGCTGTCATCCATGACTGGAGCCTTTCAGGGTGTGCATAAATTACAGATCCTAATTTTAGAAACTGGTTAATAGAGAGTCTATGTTAACTGATATCTGTCTATATCATACAATATATATATATCAGTGAGAGTGATTTAATACAGTATGTGTTTAAGGCAACACATGATTTGCATAAATCTGTTATCAACATTTTGTTGAGTGTTTCCCTGCTTCCCTGACGTAACATGTTACTGTAAACTGTAATTAGATATTGTCAAGACGCTAAAAACGCTAGCTTGTTATTACCTTTGTTGTACAGTAAACAGTCTCATATTTGCCTAGTGAGCATGCCAGTTGCAAGGAAGAATACAAATCACCCCATGTTGCTTTGGTCTTGTCTTCTGTCCACTAGAGGGCCACCAAGATTTGAAAATGTGGATTGTACAGTAAGGTAAAGGGCCTCAATTAATTTCTCTTCCCATCACATTCTACATATTAGCATACTATTTATTAAAAAAGACAATGAAGTTAAAAAAAGCAATAGATGTTTGTCTTTTAATATCAAAACCATGGCTTAAATACTATTGGATTTGCAAATCAAATCATTGTAAAATCAAGTCAGTTCAGCGTGCAAGTTCAGTGGGTACGCTGGTGGGTTTCTGCTGTCAGATATGCAGACAATGCAGGTATAGCAGGGAGTTATAAGTGCACTATTTGAATTTGACCTTGCTAGTTGTAAAAATGACAGTACGTTGCGACTGTGTTCAAGATGAATGAATTTGGGTTAATGGCTCATTCTGTCAGACAATAACTGACTGTTGATGGAAAACCAACTGGGGCTAATCGATATCCTCAGCATCTGTTTTCACACACCTTGATGCAATTGAAATAAAGACATTTTATTTTGAACGCTACAAATCCCATGTAATTATGATTAGTCATATTTCTATTAGTAGTAGCGGTGTCAGAGAATGCCTGTCAATAAGATAGAAGACAAAAAAAGACAAAATAAATGTGCTGTGTACTAGCTGTGTGTATTTACAGCATTGTACAGTATGAACAATTAATGATTTCTGTCAGTGGCTGTGTCTGCCACATGATAATGTTATGGCAGCTCAAAATAATAAAAAGTTGATATAATGCTAATAGATTAAATCTTTTCTGCATCACTTAAGCACATATATGAACAAAGAAATGGAAAGAACATTAAAAAGTTGACAGCTTTAACCAGGTCAAATACATTCTGACCAAGGTTATATCCTCTCCTCAGTCAACCGAAAACCCCAGCAGTCAACACCAGTGGCATCATGCCCATTCTCCCTGTGCAAGGTGGTATAGGTCTTCAGGTGCACGAACTGTGGGGGCGTCTCCATGCACGACTTCTATTTTTGTTCATGTTTGTGCAGCAGTGCAAAAGGAATGGGTGGAGGTGAAATGTTTATAATAAGTAGGCTATTTATGATCATTATATATTCACGCCCAGATTGCAAAAGCATGCGTTGTACTGTTTTTGTGAAGTTTTGGCATCTATATATATATAGATAGATTCAAGGTTTTTAAAGATATAAGTATATAATATATATATATTATTATTATTATTATATATTATAATATATATATATAAGTAATTTTGGAAGGAAGGGCCACCATACTCTGCGCTGTTATTTCACTATTTCACTTTCCCTACCTGGCAAAGTTAAAAAAGATAAATCACTGTTTTTAGAAGACACTAAACTCTCTCAAAATGATCAAACTCACTACATTGTTAGCTGTATTTTCTTTTACCCTATAGCTTTGGTAGTTTGTTTGAAGACCTAAAAACTAGTGTTTTGCAATATGAGACTCTTGCTATGATAGCATGCAATACAAGGTATAGTTTGGCAATTGGAGATTATACTCTCAATTTTATAATATTTAAGAGCTGTTGGTTGGTATTGCATATTTAATGCATAAACATGGGCTTCTTTGCAAAGAAACATGATACCAAGAAGCCACCTTGGATGCATTCAGTACATCAGTATAATATTTGCAGAAGCAGCTGTACTAAGGACTCACACAGCAAACCTTTTGAGGTGTTTTCAGGCACAGATTAAGGACCAGATTAGGAATTTGCCCATCCAGTTTCTCATGCAGGTGCATGGTAGAGGGGCTTATGTGATGTCTGGAAATATTAGTATGATGTCATTATTATGATGTAATCAATGAATGTCTGGATTGCAAGAGCAGTGTGCAGTAATCTCAAAATCTTCTTTTAAAAACAAGTTCAATTACACAGGGCTTTGCCCCATGACAGGCTGCCAACCTTTGACCCTCTCTGAGCACATGAGAAAAGCCATGAGCAAGTACATTCA